GTATAGGCTTGCCTTGGCTCAGAACCAGGACTGCTGGATTCTTTGCCAGTGCAATTGCTGGATATTTCATGGCTTATCCTCTGTCTGATACAACGTGGCCAAAGGCACCAGCTGTGGGCTCTCTCTGTGCCCCACTTCTGGGTGGGATGGGGAAAGCAGGGTTTCAGAATAGCAGCATCTCTCCCTATCCAAACGCCCTGTTTCATCACACTTCTTCCTACACTGCTAAAATCAACACTGTCTTGTTTTCAAGCAGTGGCAGAAGGGTCAGGGGCAGAAAATCCTGTTTAATTTGTTCTTAAAGTTCACTAGGGATCAGATGCAGCTCCCAACAAAACCAAGAGAGGCTTAACCAAGGCGCAGTCAGCTGTAAAATCGGAAGAGGCTCCTTAGCCTCACAAAATCTTGGAAGGCAATTTAAACACAAGAGATAGACAAGGAGCCCATTCTTGGGGTCTGTAATTAATCACTTACAGTTCAAACAGGGAGAGAGATTAAGTTCCCAGCTTTCTTGGAGTCCAAGCTGGATCAAGCAGGAAAGGAAAAAAAAAATAGGCTGTCAAGGAACAGCCTTAAGAGGCAATGCCATCTGAGCAAGAACAGCTCAGTTCTGCACTCCTTTAACCTCCCAGGTATTTAGGCAGAAAGTCTACAGGAAAAAAATCCTGCACCAGCTGGTGAGAACAGGCACAGTTACTTTAACATTTATGATGCTGCTCTTCTTCCTGGCCCTGCTTATGTCTATGGCAACCCTTGCACCCTCTTCAGTAGAGCCACATGATAAGCACTATTTGGCAGAGGAGAAAGTTCCAGTTAGTCTGAGATTCCATCTCAGGCACCAACTGCTAGCAGGTTCCTCGAGGAAAAATATAAGGATGGTCTATGCCTCCCTGTGCCCATGCACTTACTGAATGGAGCAGTCATTCACCCTCCTTCAATTTTGCATCCATCCCAGAAGTGTGCAGAACCAGCTGTCAAGTCAGGTTTTTCAGAGATTGAAGACAGAGAAATTTAACAAATTAACTAAAAGAGTTGCTGATCCCACTCTGGACTATCTGAAAAGGCTGCATTGTAAGCAAGGGCAAAGTAAATTAAGAAGCTAAATCTGTTGTAAGCAAGTGACTGTAACACTGGTGAAAATCCACTGACTTATCTGGAGTGTTACTAAAAAAAAAGAAGAGGTTCAGAGCCAACAAAACTGATCTCACCTCTTCCAAGGTGGACTCTATCTCACAGGCTGGCATCCTCAGTGGCATTGGTGAGCTGCAGTTGCCCTGATCACAAAAAAAAATCCAGACCTGAGGGGCCAGGCAACACCCCCTTTCCTGCTCCTGCTGGGCAGCCCCAAACAGCACTTTCAATGCACTGCTAAAACTCCCACACTCCTCCAAGGCATTGCTCGATGGTTTCTTTCCTTCCAATCTCCTTTCTTCCTGTTCCCATTTCTCATCCTTTGACTTCTGTCTGATAGACTGCTCACCTTTTGAAGGCTGCTTGCTTAGCAAGAAGCCTGGGGAGAGAGCTGAAGGCTGCAGTCTGGGTACAAGTTGGGCAAATCCCATAGTGGCTCAGGAATCTGCTTTTTCTTTGGCAGCAGAGCTGTTAAGAGGAGTTGGCACCAGAGACAGAACCATTGTCTATTGTTGCTATTCTTCTCTCTCCCCTTCAAGTCTTTAGCAACAACTGCATTTTCCCACCTATTACAACTAACTTCTTTTCCCCTAAAGAAAGGATAGTCATTAGCATTTTTTTTGCACTGTCAAATAGGACTTTTCTTATAAAAATTCTTCACGCTAAGGGGAAAGTAAAGAAAAGATATTGTTAACATGAAAGCCTTACTTAATATTTTACATTTCAAATACTGTAACTGCTTTTTCCCCCCCCTCCTTCTCCTTTTTCTGAATTTTCAGTATACAGTTTAAACATCATTAATAGTGTTGGTTGCTATGGTGTTGGGCAGGCAGAGGTGTCTGTACTTGAAACCTTGAACTACACTTAATGTTGTACAACAGCAGGGTCATGCCAATACCCTTGACTTTGACCCCATTTTTCCCAGTAAAATATAAAGACCATGTCTCCATCCCTTTTCGTTCTTGAGAGAGTTTTTTTTTTTCCCCCGCAATGAGAAAAGGGACTGTGAGCTAGAGAAAGGTAGAGATATTTAAAAAAAAAAAAGAAGAAGAAGAAAATACAAATTTAATAGACCCAGTGGAACCTTTCCAAAATCTTTGTTACATCAAGAGAAAGAGAATAAAAGAAGACAGCCCCCTGAAAAGTTTCACATGAGATTGTTTCTCATTTTCCCAAGCAGCTAAACATTTTAATAAACTAGGAAAATGAGACTGTAAAACCACAATATCTGACAGCAAGCCCCAGGGGCAGGAACCATTACTGAAACTAATTTTAACTCATGTTTTAACGTTGATCAGATTTCATGCGGTGAGCGTCCCATTAAGCTGTCTCTCTGTTCTTAGAGAAAACCTGGTTTCTTTTGTCGACTCAGAAGCTATTTTCTTTCCAGCCTATTGTCGTCACAGGCATAGCAGGACTCTTCTGTCATTCATTTCTCTACAGCCCAAGAGATGCCCTGCCCCAGACATCTTCTCATCTGTTCTGTTTCCTTATGAGACAAGACATTTTCCACAAAAGTGGCACTTAACTGCTCCAGCAACGAAACCAAGTCTTAAACGGGTCCCCATGCAGCCACTCAAGGATTCAACCCATTAAACATCTGATCTTCAACCATGCAAAAGGCACCAGGTCAATTCAGACCAGCTGAAGCCAGGATCCAAAGCAAGCTTTCAGTTTCTCTGCTTTGCTTTTACCCCAGGGAAGTGAAGCTGCTGTACCAGTTTCCTCACATGAATCACATTTTGCTCTGATTGTCACCAGGACATCTACAGCCAGGACCAGCTTTTTACCTCAAAGTCTCTATTAACATCAGCTGAAAATCTGAATGGGGAAAAATTATATATCTAAGTAGTGTAGGTTTCTCTTGAAGACTCATTCCTTCTCACAAAACCGTATTTTGTCTTCTGGCCGTGCCCAAACCACTAGTCCTGTGGGGCAGGACTTCTTGGTGCTGCATCCCTCTTCCAATAGCTGTGTCCCTGTTTTGTGCCATGTGGATTCTTGGCTGGCATAGCCATATGAGACAAGGGCTTTCCACAACTCAAGGAATGGTCACTGGCATCAGCTCGCTCCTGTGCCTGCTCATAATGAACTTATACTTCAAAGGCCTGTTGTGCAACAGAAGAAAGCAAGGCTGTGTGCTGCTGCACAAGCTGACTAAATGCCAGTGAGAATGACCAGGTTGGAAAACAGCTCTGCAGGCACCTGCCTTATCTTTTTTCCAAAAATTAAGTGCTCGTTCCTTTCTAGATCCCCCTTTACAGAGGTGGAAGGTCTTTCTGACGCCTTTCCTTTAAACTTTCTGTGCACTGTGTAGGAGATGCTGGTGCTTGGGGGTGGCAGGAGGTGACAGAGTGGCCGGTTTTCAAAACGGCAAAGCCACAGTGACAGTTGCCTTTGGCTCTTCCAGCCCACCAGCAGCAGGCTTAGTCACATCAGCAGCATCAAAGCTGAGCAGCTCTTTAGAGAAAGGGCATTTGTCCTTTCATCTGGAGATTACAGGATCTCTCACAGATCCCAGCAGTCTGTTTTGAAATACTCTTTAAAGAAAGATACCTGTTTGTAGAACCACCTGCCATTTAAAACAGCCTCTCTGCCTTCCAGGTTTCCTTGCAAAACCCTCCCCCAGCCACTTAACTGTGTGTACAAGGACAAAATGATGCCAAAGTTCATTCCCCAGCAAGGACCATTGCCCAGCTTTCACACTGGGCACTGTATTGAGAAAAGGACCCTTCACAAACATGCCAGAAAGCCTGTGACCTATTTGGGTCCACTCCTTCCCTCTGTGATGCTCAGCAGGGAGAGCAGGAAGGCAGAAAGCTGCTATTGGCACCTGGAGGGAAGCCCCACAGAGATAAAAAGCTCTTTGCCTTGCTGTTTCCATTCCATCATGACTTAATTTTTTTGGTTGGGGACAGAAAAGACTATAAAGCTGTAACCTCTAATCCGCTCCTGGGCGCTCCTTCTCCATCTCTTCCTTCCTCCTCTCTTTCAGCCAGCTCTAATCCTTTATGTCTCTTCTCACAGATAGGAGCTGGACTCTAATCTCAGACGACAGGTTGGTAATTAGAGCAAGAGATTAGCCTGACCCCACATCAAGAAGGTAAAAGGAGAGGAATAATGCAGCACCATACAAGATCAAACCTTCAACATTCAATGCAAGACCCATCCCCATCTCACTCAGTTTCCCCCTGGCTCCCTTACTCCATGCCCTCTTTTTTGTCCCAGCAGAGCAGAGGATTTCTGATTCTTTGTACTTCCTGTCCATCTCCCCTCTGTTGAGCAAGGACTGTGCTTTTCCAGGATTCATTCAGCCCAAAAAATGGTCATATTTTTCATTTCTATAGACTTTGACTATGCGAGACTCAACAGGTCTGTGGCTGCAAAGTGTGGGCAGTAGGGAAAGCACCGATATGGAGGAAGAGGCCCTGCTCAGAGAGCTTGGAGCAATGACATGCTGCCACCCACCAGGAGCTGGGCACCAGGTATGCACACACAGGGCCCTTCTAGTCCAGAAAGATGCAGCCAGGGCACAGAGCAGCAGCAGCAGCAGCAAGTCCTCATCTCTGCTCAGATGCCCAGCAGTCACTATCCTATTCTTGATCTGCTCAGAAGGCATACTGCTCCCATCCCTTGCACATATCCCAACTCAGATGAGAAGCTCATTCATGTGTCCAGCCCATCCTATCCATCTTTGGATCAGACCTTGTCTCTTGTCCTGTGTCACCAGTATTGAGTGAGGACCAAGAAAGCCATCACAGAGCACCACGACCACCAGGGTGAAGGTGAAATTGGGAGCACCAAGCTTCTTCAGTGTCCCACTCCCTGCAGGTGAACAGGTGTCACCTGGACCCGCTGCAGCTGAGGCTCAGGCATCACCAGCCAACAGCCTGCAGGCACCAGGAGGTGTTGGGATAGAGGTGGCAGTGGAGGGATCGAAACCTGCTGGGGAGAAAGCAAATTAAGGTCAGAGGACAGCTAGAAGATGGGAGGCCTCTCCCTCTCGCCCCATTCCATATCAGGTGCCCACCCTGCACCACAGAGCTCAGGACTGTTTGCTCACCCTAAGGTGTCTTTTCTCAGCAAAGCCTCCCTCTGATACCCAAATCCAGCTCTAGCCCATGGAGCCCAAGCCACAGCTCACCCTGATCACAGGCAGGGAGATGGGCACTGCACCAGCCCCTGCTACATGGTTCTGCTGATGCTCTTTTCAACACCTAGCTGTTTCCCACCTCTCCTATCTCCAGCTAGGATCTTCCTACTCATGCTCTGCAAATAACAACTTGAGGTTTGTTCACTCAAAGAGGAGAAGGTAAATCAAAGAACAGTTTTGTTTGCAGTCAGCCTGAAGTGAACCTTTTTCTTTTTTCCCTTCAGTTTTCTCAGCAAAGCATAAAATGAAAAAAAACAAGCAGAATTTCCTTCCTTGAGTTTAAAAGAACATTTCTGTTCCTGTCCCTGAGGTAAAAGGTTAGCTTGTTCAGTCTCAAAATGGGAAATAAACAGCAATACTTTTGGCTTAGGCATTGTCCAAATAAAATGTTTTAAATGCTGCATTTCTTTCCACTCACCCAAAAAGGTTTGCAACGTTTATAACCGTTCACAAATAGCTTAATGCTGGGGTGCCCCTCACCCAATAAGTCATGTGACTGTAAGGTTCCTATCCCTCCCTCCAGCCCTCCTGCACCCCATTGGGCTGCCTCCCCCTCCCAGCCTGTTGTCTGAGGGCTCACACAGCAGCAACATCCAGAGCACACATGCCCCATACCTTGAAGGATCCTCCTGGGGCGAGAAGGGGCCGCTGAGCTCAATGACATTGAGTTTGTTCTCAAACACTCCATAGCTGAGGGTGACCTACAAAGTAGCAGTGAGAAAGGAGTAAAGAGAATGAGATGAGTTCAAGAGCAAGGAATTTGCTGTGGATGACAAAAACTCCCATTCTAGTTCTTTCTCTGCTGGCTTAGCCTCTACCTTCCACATCTCTTCTGTTTTCCTTCCCATGATGGTCCACCGTACTAGTCCTTTGTAAGGCAGAGAGAGTGCCATGTCAAAGGCCCTTTCCCAATCAATCATCATTTCTGCTTGTCCTTGTGCCACATTCTCCCAGGGATGCCCTCAATCCTCCCATCACTCCCCCTACATGTGCTCCCCACCACTGATCCCAGGGCACTGTGACTGGCAGCTGTGCTGCAAGCAACATCTGCTCCTTATTTCAAAGATGCATTTGTCAGGAAAGCCTCCCCAGAAGAGCAGATGATTGATTCAATGCACATCAGTGCCATCAGTGGAACATCATGCCTGTAAGCTTCCTTCCACTCCTCCTTCCTCACACACCTCCCTCTTGCTTCCCTTCCCCTCCTCACCTGCTGCATGAGCTGAGAGGTGGGGATGAGCTGCAGGTTCTCCAGGTGGGAATGGAAGAGTGCATTGGGAATCAGCTGCGCACCGACTTTGCACTCAATGATGTAACCCACAGTGCAGTCATCCGGCAGGCGGATGAGCTCCGAAGTGCTCAGGAAGTTCCTGCCACTGGAAGAGAGTAGGGCTGCCAGGGTTAGGAAAAGGGTAGGGGCAGATATAGGCATCCACTTTGGCAGGAGATTACTGAAAACCAGAGTAGATCCTGTAACCAGGCAAGAAATCCCTGAGTTCCAGCTGCACATACTCAGGAACAGGCTTGCTCTTTCACCATTCCCAGCCATGCTGTCCCTGATACATGATCCAGGTCCTTGGTAAGCTGACGCAGAGAGCTGACAGACTTCACTGAGTCATTTCTCCACATGTTTGGTGAAGTGCACTGAGCCCCTGGGGGTCACACAAGCCACCACAAGAGAAACAGTGGGAGCACATGGCAAGGTCCAGGGGGAAGTGAAAACAGGACATGAAGCTTGGATAAGCCATCTACTGTAATGCAACACCACATACTTGGCCACCTTCTGATGACAGACTAAACCCAATTTTAAGGCTTCGGGAACTGGAATTATTTACACAGTATGAGACACTGTCTACTACAACAACTCCCAGCAAACTGAAATGTGTTTTAAGCATTTTAAAAACAGTAGTGGCAGATTTTATGCCAGGTCAGGCATTGTCTATCTGTACCACTTTCACTTTACCCTAGATCACAGATCATCCTCTTGACTGGGTCTACCATAAAATACCTATCATGGGATTTGGCTAAAGCAGCCACCTGGTGTGGATCAGATCTGTCCTTCTGAGTATGCTCAGATCTGGTTAAGACTGGTTAAGGCACAGCCAATGCCCACCAGCGTACGTGCCTGGGGTATAACCCCAGGGGGTTATATATATACCCTGGAGGGTAGGGCATCATCTTGTTCTAGGTTGGGATAACACCTTGGGACCCACCTCTGTTCTCCATGCATCAAGCTGAGGAAATGACAGTGGACACCTGAGAAGCCAAAGAAGGTTTAGGGTGAGAGAACATAAAATTAGCTCAGGAGGGAGGTATGGAAATCTGGAAAGAGGCAGATGAAGGGGAGATGAGATCAGCAGATGGGAAAAGAGTCACACGAAGCTGAAAGGGATGGGAAGGAGTGTGAGGAATAACCAAGAGCCTTAAGGAGATGGGGAGAGAGGAGTACATCATCCTGTGACCATGTTTACTGATGTGCCTGCTCTTGCCAGTTTTCAGTGAGTTGGCAGACCCACCCACTACATCCTTCCTCCAGTCTCACATCTTGCAGACATGCAGCACGCGGCACTCTGCACCTTTGCAAACACCACATGCACAAATCCAGGGCTGACACTGCCAGGAATTAATGTGCAGCCATGTTGCTCATCCCCAAAGGCTCCTACGCTCCCCAGCTCACCTGGCCCAGGGCACCATCTTCCTTGCCAGCTTGTGGCTGATGCAGAACCCAGCCCCTCCCGTGGCAAACCAGAAGCGCACGGATTTCTGGAAAGAAACACCAGAGAAAATCAATGGCAGAGGCTCAGATAATACCATACTCCCAGAGGTGGGAATGCTGGAAACCCAGCTTTGATGTCAGGACAAACACAGCCCTATTGTCACCCCAGCCCCCTGACTGCTGCCCAGAGGAAGGACTTTCTCGCAGTACAGCATGGATTTTCACTTCCTCATAACTGGAACAGCCAGTTGCTCCTGCTGGCAGCAACAGGTGGGGTGCCTGGGGCAGGCTTTTGTCTGTCAGACATGTACCCAAAGGCAGAGCAGCAACGTGGGACTCTGCCCCTTGGACGATCAAATTTAGTCAACACCTAACAGCCATGTATAGACAAGATGACAAGTTTTCAGCTGTTGTCATTCCTCTTGGGATCGGTCTCTCCTTGCAATACTGTGCTGGTTTTGGCTGGGGTAGAGTTAACTTTTTCACAGTGGCTGGTGTGGGGTTGTGTTTTGGATTTGTGCTGAATACAGCGTTGACAATACAGAGATGTTTTTGTTATTGGTAAGCAGGGTTTACACAACAGCCAAGGTCTTTTTTGCTTTACTACTGCCACACTGGTGAGGAAACTGGGTGTGCAAGGGAGGTTGTGAGGAGACACTGCCAGGACAGGTGACCCCAGATGACCAAAGGGATTTTCCAGCCCATATGACACCATGCTTAGTTATAAAGTGTGGGAAGAAGGAGGAAGGGGAGGGACATTTGGAGTGATGGTGTTTGTCTTCCCAAGTCACCATTACACGTGATGGGGCCCTGCTCTCCTGGCGGTGGCTGAACACCTGCCTGCCTGTGGGAAGCAGGACTTAATTCCTTGTTTTACTTTGCTTATGTACATGGCTTTTGCTTTCCCTGTCTTTATCTCAACCCACGAGTTTTCTACCTTTTGCCCTTTTAATTCTCTCTCCACTCCCTCTGGTGGGAGAGTGAGCGAGCAGCTGCGTAGGGCTTGGCTGCCGGCTGGGGTTAAACCATGACAAATGTGAGCCAGAGCACCAAAACACCCCACTGCCCCCAGTCTACCTCACCGCCCCAGGCTGTACCGTCTGGTTGTTTGGCAGCGTTTCAGAGGCCCAGATGGGTCGGTTCAGGCTGGGTTTGCCCAGGTAAACATCCTGTGTCTCCGCATAGGAGGACAAGAGCTTCAGGAGTGCAACAGGGTTCAGGTAGTTGTCATCATCCAAGTGGCAAAACCAGCTGGGGCAGACAGGAAGACACAAGAAGTTTGCAGTAAGGAGGGTGCCTCTTGCCCTCAGGGATCCCCCCACGGCAGCCCTGCCCCACCTCAGGCCGCTGGCCAGGAAGGCATCGAACTCTGCAGCCATCTTGCAGGACAGGGCCAGGTGGCTGTGCTCGGCAGAGCAGTTGGTGAAGATCACATGGCCACCTGCCAGAGGAGGGAAAACTCAGAGCCAGCCCACTTTGCATGGTTACAGGGAGGACATCTGGGCAGGAGGGAAGGGGTTTGTTCACAGACAGTCTCCTCATGCCCTCCCAAAAGGCATCCAAGCCCATGGAGACACGGGTTCCACTCCTCCCCCTACCAGGAGATGAAACATGGACAGAGCCAAGCAATTTGGCCAAGACTAGAATGCCTGCCATCCACACTTCCACGCTGCCCACTGCCAACCATGATGCAGATTGAGGGGCTCTATCATGTGCCACTTCTACCCATGGATGCTTTAAAGCAGACAGCACCCTGCCTCCAGCTGGCTGCATGCCCTGGGGTAAGCCAGCTACACCAAACTATCACCACCACAGGACACGGCAAGGGGCCTGTTTCATTGGGCAGTGCTGGTGCAGGACAGCCAGCCCTCACACCAGGCTCCTCTCAAGGCCAGGACAGCTCAGGGGGTAAAGGTAGAGTAGGGGCTGAAGGTGGTGTCATAGGATAGGTCATTACCCAATCTCCTTTTCAAGGCATCATCTTCTTCATCAGTGAAGATGTAGGTCTGGGGAAACAAGGAAAAGAGATTACTCTTGAGGATGGAGCTGGTGCTGTTCCTGGCTGCCCACTTCCTCCCACAGCTGGACACACTTGACATGGTTACCCCCACTCCATGCTCTGCTGCTCTACTCACTCCCAGGCAGCAGATGAACAGAAGGATGGCTGTGCTCCCCCTTCCTGCATGGCACAACCATGAGTACTTGTGTGGCTTCGTTTTCCCCCCCAATCCCACTGCCTTGGGAACAGGGGACCCATGACACTGAGTGAGGGGGCAAGGTAGCCCTGGATTAGGTGTCAGTGGTAGAAAAATTAAGGCATTGTGGTTAAATGATGCTTGGGTTAAAAGAACATCTGCTTGTGTGTGAAGTGTGCACAGCTCCCTGCCACTTTCTGCCCCCTCCTCCTCCTCTTCCTCCACTCCCAGGCTTCTCTAATCCCCCTTGCTGCCATTATGTGGCACAGCTCCCCCTGTTCAGAGCCAGGCAAGGATCAGGGCTGGTGGAGAAAAGCTTTCCTCAGGCAGAAAATGAGCTTTCATGAAATGAAAAAGGAGTCGCGAGCCATAAACAGCCTCCCCACCAGCTGCCCACAGGCTGGTTAAACACAGCACCTGCACAGGCACAAAGGGAACAAGGCAGGCAGACAGCAGCTGCAGGAGCCATCACTGCTCCCAAAGGCAGGGGAACACAAGTCTCTACATCTCCCCACACCCACCCAGCATTTGGGAGATATCCCTATCGGGAGGACATAGCAGGAGAAAAGTTGTGTATGTGAAAATAAGGCAGTGAAGGACCCTCAGAGATACCTGGCTCAAGCAGAGACAGCAGGATGGTTTCCTGATCTCAGATGGATGAGCTAGAGGGCTTGGTGAATTACCCTCTGAGAGCTGAGCTGCAGCAATGGAGCATGCACACATTCCTACCCCACCCCACCAGTAAAGTCTCTTAGTTAACACCACTTTCAAGGGGATCATATGACAAGCAGCAATTAGCCAAGTCTCAGGTGAAGGAACTGCTCTGGGTCAGGGGATCATATCACAACCTTCAGGCAAGGCAGGGATTGTCAGCAGCACGGGATTTCCCTTGCCAGCATGTCAGAGTTAGAAATTTCCACTATGGCAAATATTTCCAACTTAAGAAAAACAAAATCTGAAGCCATTGAAATTTTCTGACATTTTCAAAAAAAACCCCAAGAAATATTGTTGCTGGAAATTACTTGCTTACAGATATAAAAACTTGATATCACGTGTCTAACAACATCACATTTGACTTAAAATAACAAGATGCATCTTTTCCAAATTTTCTACTTGTAAAAATATTCTGAGGTTCCCAGTTTTCTCTTGATGCAAGATGAGAAATGTTGGGGGTTTTTTTGCAGACATCCAACATGTTCCTGTAGAACCCAAGGATGAAAGTACACTGTCACCACAGGCAACACCACACTGTCCAAAATAACTGGGAAAAGGGAAATATGAGTGTGGGTACCAGGCAAGTCCAATTTTTCTGGCACTTTCAAACTCTGATCTCCATGGCACACCTGGCTGTGCTCAAGAAGTGCAAAAGAAGATCACAATAGCAAATGCAGCTGCCTCCATCCTCGTCTCACCATCCCTCAAACACCTGAAGGTGGGAAACCTGGCACAGCAGCTGCTGCCAGAGATGAAGCACAGAAAGTATCTCTCCATTCTGGAGTGGAGAAGATGTCTGTGTAGGAAAGGATGTCTGCTGGACAGCAGTGCAAGCAGTGATAAGGAGCCACTGTGTCAAACAGTTTTTTCTGGCAGCTCGTCATGAACAGAAGAGCCCAGGCAATGGATAAATGCTAAACTTCGAGACCTCCTCACCCCAAATAAGGGAAATAGCCTAGCAATAAAAAAAATAGCAAAAAGGAATAAAGATGTGGAACCTGACAATCCAGGTCCGTATTCATCGCCTAAGCTCCCAGGGTATCCTTCCTCTATGAAGAAACCCTCTCCAAAATGCAAACACATCAACAGGATTACTGTTGTGTCCTGCACAGAGAACAGATTCAAAATCTGGGGTGCATTCACATCACTGAAAATCTGAAAACCAGTTCAGGATGGGACATGCAAAGGTTTCATTCCCATTGGCTGGGTGTGTGGGCTTCTAAATGGAGGGGAAGTGCTAGAAATAGCTCACATTACCAAACCACACCAGAAAGCTGGACTCTTCTCCATCAAAACTACTGGGGCCAGGAGTGTAAGTCACTCCAAGATTCTGTCCAGCTAAACAATCATCAGAACCCCCACTCCTATTTAGATTAAGCTTTTGCTGAGGAAAAGGCCTTTCACTAAAATGGCTTTCACATCAGTCTCCAGCGGGAAGTTTGTCATGGATCAGTTCTCAGGAGGCAGAGCATGGTCCAGCAAAGAGTGCCCATCTCACACTTCCCCATCTCTCACCAACTGCATGTCTTCAGATTAAACTTCAGAGCAGTTTCAGAGACAATCTCTCTCTTATTCTCTACCCCAACAGAGTCCAACACAGAGGATTTTTAATTCAGCTCCCATACAGTCTGTCCTTGCCATCAAAACCACAGCTGTTCCTGCCTCCTGTTACAGTCACCTAGGCCTGACCTGGGAGGTCTGGGTTGCTTCCTCCAGGAGGAAACCATGCAGGTATCCTGCTCTGAAGCCAGGCTTGGCATCAGCAACACAGCCAGCTGCTAAAATTTCCCTGCTGGCCACTGGTGGAGAAACACTCACTGAATTGGTCTCCAGCCATGACTGAGGGCAAGTGAGACAGTAAGAAGCTGGATCAGCCCGAGGAGAAGGCAGCCTCTGCACATCAGGACTTCTGAGACCTGAATTTCTCCAGGACTGGTTCCTAAAGCCTATGTCTCTCCATAAGGACTCAATAACAAGAGGTCTGGCGTACTATTCCTGTCCCCACAACAATTGAATGTCCTTTGCAAATTGAAAGCTGTCCTTTTTTTGCTAAGTGAGGCTTTCTATATTGTCAAATTTTCCAAACTAACCATTTCCTGGAAACTTAAAAAACCCCTTAAGGAGGAATATATTAAAAAAAAATGTTTTTGGCTTTCATGTACTTCTCTTTGCCTCCCTTTCTGCTCCCACTTCCCTTCCCTCAAAGCCATTTTGTAAAAAAGAAGAAGAAAAACACAGAAAATTGAGGAGGGAGAAGGAAAATATCAAGCTTGCAACAAAAATTGGTAACACTGAAAAAACTCTGTTTTAAAATGAGTGACACTCCCATTCTATGCCTTCCTTCCTATTTCTCTGCTCAGTCTGTGTAGCTTTCCAGAGGCTGGCAGCAGCATGGAAAATTCAACACCTCTTCCAAGGTTTGGACACCACTTGCATTCCAGAGGGGATCAGATGAGTCTGGGGAGCTAGTATCTAATTCCTGTCATCAGCAGAACAGCCAGGCACTGATTTGTCAAACAAAGGAGGGACAGGTGAATTGCTCCCTAAAAACTCACTGGGAAGGCCCCAGGAGCAATATCCTAATGCCAGTGCAGGCACGTGGTTGGGTTTGGTTTCTCCAAGGAGCTGCTGGGCTGGAGCTGGCTGGAGAGGAGAAGTGCCTCTGCAGGAGGAAGCGGGGCATCTCAGACACCGAGAGGGACACGCAGCCAGGAGAGGAAGCGTGCTCAAAATAGGACATGGCTTCCTGTGACGACCGCAGCAGGCCAGACAGTTGCAGCACCACGAAGTGGAAAACCACCCTTACCCAGCAAACCCTGCACTGCTTCAGGCACTCTCCTACCCAGCACCTCCGCCCCCATCCCCTTCTGCACTGAGGCCTGAATTTGCCTTATAGGCACCCATCACACACAGGCAGAGGCAAAAAAAACCCTTCAGGGCAGCCATAGGATTTCTTCTTTCTTGAGAAGCAGCTCTGCGAGGGAGGGAGCAAAGCACCAGAGCTCTGGGGGAGTGCTCCTGCCCACCAGTGAGCCAGCCTGCACAGCACCACTAATGTGGTGCCCTGTATCAGTTTCTCTAGCAGGAAGGAAACTCTCCAAACTGTTTGAGCAAAGGATGGAAACATCAGGCCCCCAGTTTAAAAAAAGAAAAAAAGTCAAAAATACACCCACATCACTTCAGATACCTTCATGCACATGAAGGTATCTGCCCAAGAAGAGAAAGTATGGACTGTGCTGATGTGCTGGGGGGTGAACAGCGCTAACTACAGGAGGTCCTCCAGGAGCCTGCCTGCCTCGTTGTCTTGCCCACTGCACTGCACCTTTCCAGGGCAATGGGTGCCCAGGCACAGTGTAGGCACACTGACAGGGCCAGGGGAGCCTGTCAGCCCCAAACCCAACAAACCCATGGCACCAGGAGAACTGGAAAGCCACCATTTCATACAGACACAGGCTGGTCTGTGCATTCAGTCTGGCGTGGCATTTTCACCAGCCCTTCCCAGGAAGCAGCTACTGGTGAAACCATTTTGCTGGGTAGTATCTCCCTTTGAATGTGAAGTGAGAAATAGAGAATATGAGGCAAAGTACTGAGAGGCACTACAGCGCCCAGCCTCCCCTTCCTCTGGCTTTTATCCCCTTGCCCTGACAGCCCATGCCTGCCCCATTACTAACTCCTTCTCTCTAGTCAGAATCCACACACTCACCTGCTCACTGGCCTGGGATATCCACGTGTCCAGGAGCAGCTCCATCCTGCTCTGGTGAAACCTCTTGGTTGTCTTCACAGCTATGAAAATGTCCCCAAGCGTCAGGCTTCCCTCGCTCCTGTATCCCTCCGGAGGATGGACTCTGAGGTCCTTCTGCTCCCTGCCACCAGCTCCCTCTGGGCCCCCTCGGCTCTGTCGCTCTGGCTTCTCCAACATCCCCTCCCCGATCCCTGGGTACTTTGCCGCTTCCCGAGCCCCACGGTGCCGCATGGAGAGGAGGGCCACGCTGGCAAGGACGACTGCAGCTCCAGAGACACCGCGGAGGAGCCGACGGCCCATGGCTCCCGAGCCGATCCTGCCGCAGCCCGTATCCTCCCGAACAGGGACAAGCTCTGCTGCACCTCCACGCGACGCTGGCTGCTCTTCTCGAAGCCTCCGAGGGGGCAAGATTTGTCAAGAGCAAGGTCTGAACAGATGTGGTCGAGGAACAGGGTGGGCAAAGACCAGGAAGCCAAAGAGTCAGCCGAGACGAAGGATCCCGCTGAAGCAGGGGGGGTTTCACAGACTACGGAGAGCTCAATGACCCAGCGAGGCAGGGACACGCGGCTGGAAAACACTCCGAGGTGACAGCACGTGGCTGGCACAGCCTGCCAGCAGGAAAGCGAGCATCCCTGCTTCCGAGGGAGAGGCTGCGTGTCCCAGGCAGGGTGTTGAGGGGACGGCAAAGGAGATCAGAGCCATGACGGGGAAGCCCGGACCGAAGGCATCAGAAGACACCAGCGCACAGGGGCGAGCCGGCGGCTCCGGCAGCAGGCGGGCGGCAGGGACGCGGTGCAGTGTGCGGCGGGGCTGCTCGCCACCTGCTCCCCGCCGCAGCCCTGGCTCCCGCCCGCAGCCCCTGACCCTGCCAGCACCTGACCCTGCCAGCCCCTGCTCCTGCCCCGCAGCCCCTGCTCCTGCCCCGCAGCCCCGGTTCCGCCTCCGGGCACGGGGCGGGGCGGCGGCCCCGGGGAGGAAGGATGGAGCAGGGGGAGGCCCGCGTCTGACAGCGGGTTTGCCTCACCAGGGCAGCCCCGCTCTGAGACACCTGCGAGGTGACAAACGGCAGGTCTGGATGACAAACCTGTTTCCTGACTGATTTCCCCGCTTCTCTGTGACAGCTCGGCCCGATCTCTGCGGGCCTGCTCATCCCCCTGCTCTTGAGAGAGGAGGGGACGGTGACACTGATGTGGGCTCTGGTGAAGTTAAAGTGCGGGGTCCTCTGTGGTTCTTGCAAAGAACGATTTTTCCCCAGGAATTCCCTTAGCCCCAAACTTTTCCTATGGATACAGGTCTGAGTTTGCTGCTCCTGCCTTTCAGTCCCAGCTTGCCTCCCAAAGCAGGATTGTGTATTCCCTGCTGTCCCTCCTGCCGCCACACCCCAGACTCTCAAGCTGGGGTGTGACCCATCTCCCTAAACCATGACTCTGCTCCAGAAGGTCCCTTTTCCTCTGCCTCCAGCCCTGCAACCCCCACTAGGATATCCAAGGACATTCTGCTGCCCAGGTGGCTGCAGAACCAGTGACACGCACAGGAAGAGGTGCACCGGCAACCAAAAGCATGAGGAAGGGCGTACTGCCTCCCTTCCAGCTGTAGAATCACAGAAGGACTGGGCTGGAAGGAACCTTAAAGATCATCCAGTTCCAAGCCCACTGCAGGGACACCTTCCCCTACATCAGGTTGTTCAGAGCCCCATCAAACCTGGCCTTGAACAATTCTGGGGGAGCACAGGTGGGGGCAGGGGGTGCAGTGTCACTGCTGAGTTTATATCCCACCCAGGTCCTTTCCCCCTGCAAGGACTGCAGCCCCTGCAGGGCTGAGCTCATCCATTTGTCCCTTGTGGTTTTCGTGCTATCCAAGATGTTGCTTTCCTTTCCCTGGGAAAGGAAAGGGAATGTCCTCTATCTTTGGAAAACCTCAGAGACCTGCAAGCACAGCAGCAAAGTGGCACCTCCAGCTCCTTCCTCATCCCCCACCTTCACCACTGGTCTCCCCTGAGCCACTTTCACTTCCAGCCCTCTGGGTGCCAGCAAGTGACAGGGATATCAGAGGATAGAGACAGAGACCACCATGGAAGGGAAATTTTGGGGTGAGTACCACAGATTGCTGCATGCTTTTGCTGGTTCAGTTAGACATGGGGTAGGTGACCATGCAGTCCCCTTCACACTACCTGCAGGCCACTTTACAGAGTGGCCAGAGAGCTCCAGAGAGACCACCAGCCCAGGAGGGGGAATGATATCCATGCCCCCATCTCAGCTTCCCTGTGCAGCAAGCGTGGGGACAGCAGGATGGGAGTGCTCTACATAAGCTGCTGAAATCAGAGCGCCTCCTCAGGGAGCTACAAGCTGTGGGCATCCAATCTCAGCATAGCAAAAAAATAAAAATAAAAAGTAATAAGCTGGGGCCCAGGAGAATTGGCAGGGGTGTGGAATGGCTCCATGTGGAAAAGGACACCCCGCCCCATGCACATGTCAGATCATGGGACCTTGTAACAGAGGGGTGGGCAGCCTGCCAGGGTCCCTCTGTGCCACACTCCCACCGTGTGTCCAGCCACAGGCACTTCCCAGGCACACAGGGAAGATCTCCCTGCAGGGCTAAACCCATGTGCTCAGTTTCTCCACATCACAGACATACTTTCACTCTGCCCCTGTCCCTGGCTACAACTTTTTACTTTTGTAAGGGAGAAACCATTGAATCCACTTCTCTTCCCTCCTCTCCTGTATTTCTCTAAGTCTCAAAACTCCTGCCTTCCCCTGAAGCAAGAACGTCTCCAGAGCATCTCCCATATCCCTTTGGAGAGTCCCTGCAGGTTTTATTTTTAGATCCCTTTGAATACTGATGCTTTCTTACACTGATTTGGGGCACGGGGGGAGTCATTCACCTTCAGGCCTTACATTACTGCAGGGATGTGAACTTGGTGTGACTGGGATTGCTCACACGGCTGGCCAATGCTCCTGAACCAGAAATTAACCTCCCTGAGTGCTCCAGCCACATGCCAGCAGCCTCAGGCACCTGTAAAGGAAGCTTCTGTAGCTCCAAGGCATCCTGCAGCACCTCACAGCTCTGGCTTAGGAGATCATTTGGGAGGCACAGGTGGGGCACAGGCAGGGCCCCTTACTGATAGCCCCAGAAGACATTACAAATACAATTCAAAGCTACCTCATACAGACCATGGTGCCAGGAAACTCTGCTGGGGCAGGGGGCCACTGTGGACCAGGGTGACACATGTGCCACCTCAACAATCCCCTCCCTGGAGAGAGAAATCTTGCTCTCAGTGACTCTTTACAGGGGTTTGCACAAGGCTGTTACAGCTGGTAATTGGTGCCCAGGGCTGCTAATTGCATTGTGCCTGTTACCTAACCTGTGACTCATTCCTCCGAGCAGGCAGCCACCCACCTAGGAGGTAAAAAAGCTGGGCTGGAGTGTGCAGGGCAGAAAGGGTCATTTATGTTTGCCTTGGAGCCCTCTGCTCCACTTCTCACCCATGTCCAGAACAGGTTAAGGCTGGATTTTTAAAGCCTCAGGGGAGAGAAGCTGGATAAAGAGAGAGCCTGGAAGAAGCCTGGGAGCAGGGGAGGCAGTGCTGCTGCTGCTTGGCTAGCTGGGCAGTGCCAGCCTGCCTCCCAGAGCCTCCCTTTGCCTCCCTTTCCCCGTGGCTGAGAGCACTGATGGCCCAGGGAAGTGCTGGGGATGTGATTCTTTGGGAGGGCAGCAAGGGCTGAGCTGGGTAAGCACAGCCTGACTACCCAGGGTGGAGGGGCTGCTTTTAACCCCCCCATAGGGCTGGGGCTGGTTCCCAGTGCCAGCAGGGACAAGTTTGAAATCCTGAGTAACAGCGCCTCACACACAGTGTTTTCCCTGAATACTCAAGCGCTACTTTTGCCCAGCAAAGATGCAAATTCCAATCTCCAAATCCATGACAGGGTGAATGGGAACTTGTTTTGGGACTTGTCTTCTCATCAGCTCAACAAGAATCCCACTTTGTTTGCCTGCAGGGCAAGCACCCTCCCCGGGGACTGGCTGTGCTGGAATGCTCAGGCTGCATCCCCTGGAGTGGATGCCACCTGGGAGCTTTCATCTGGAGCCCTGTGTATGCCAGCTCCCCCTTCCCTGAGAGAAGAGTTGCATGGCTCCAGGGCAGAGCAAGGATTCTGCTCTACATTTTAGTGACTGCAAGTTAAAAATCTTCATTTTCTTTCCTCCCTCCTTCACTCTCGTCCTCATAAAAGACACAGGCAACTGGTTTAGAGCCTGAAATAACACCTCACAGGGGACTCGTGAAGATCAGCAAGTTAATCTTTGCTCAGAGCTTCACAAGTGCATGCCACCAGCAGTGCCAAACCACAGGGGCAGGGGGACACAGAGGGGACCTGACTCTGGTGCTGGCTGCCCATCTTCTCCCACTGAGCCCAGCATCAGCAGACTCTGCCTGACCTCATGCCCCAAGAGCCCCAAGCCTCCCAGAGCCACAGACTTCATTATCCTCTGGCCTGCCTCAGGAAAAACCACCTACCACCACAACCACCACCTCTCCCCAGCGTGGGTATCCTGGCACCTCTTTCCTATGGCATCTGCTAATGGTGGCTGCATAACAGGATTTGGGACCATGCAGTTTAAGTGAGCACTGCTGTGGCTGCCCAAAGCCTCCATCTTGCCCCTGCCAGAGTCTGAACCCACTCTGGCCCCATGTCAGGGTGAGAACCCCACCTTGCAGGGGCACTGTCCCCCTTTCTCCCAGCAGCATGGCTGGGCTCAGTCTCCTTGCTGCCCCCCAGGAGGCTGAGGTAACTGGCTTGTCACGTCATGCCAACCAGGGCATGGAGGGATGCAAAGCTCTAGGGACCCCAGCCAGACACAATTCAAAACTCAAGTGAGTTTTTCCCTGACTTTCCTAAAGCACTCCGACCAACATCAGTGCTGGGGAGAGCAAGGGACTGAAAACCAGGGGCCAAGTAGAAAAAGGAGGGGACTTAGTCTGTGGCACGCTTAGCCTGTCCTCTCCCCACACTTCTTGCTGCCCTACAAGAGCAACATCAGTGCTCCCTCCCCCCCTGGAGGGCTGGGCAGTTGGGTCTCACCTAAAGGAGGAGAAAAATATCCCATTGTACATCACCCACACCTTCCCAGTAACACACAAGCCCGCAGCCTGCCACCCATTCCCATTATGAATGGTATTTAATTCTCCTTTACAGGCGGTTTGCCAATGAAAGGCTCCATTAATAATTTACAAGCAATAAAGAGTACAGCTCTACAGCTCCTATAAAACGAGGGTTTGTTGCAACCTGAATGTCACTCCAGCCGCCGTGGGTCACAGGGGTATGAGCCATGCTCCCTGTGCCTTGGGGCCAGAGGCGAGGTAGATGGGAAGAGACGACCCGGAGCACATGGTGACACCGGGCAGGGGAGATGGAGGTGACAGGAGAAGAGCTCAGGCGCTTGAAATCTGTGTGAGAAATGCTCCTAGGCAGCCTGACCCCACACAGTTCCCCTACGTTCCCTGTCTGTCAGTCTGACCACGTACAAGGGCAGCCCAAGGTGACAGCGAACAGCCCACAGGGGTGCTTTCCACCATGGTGGTGGAAGATGCCTTTCCAATGAAATACAGGAAGCTCAGACAGGGGACTGTTATCTGTTACTTCCTGGCTCTTGGTGGCCCTCAAAGGGGAAGAAAGGCTACCCTGGGGAGCCTTTAGCTACCAGCATCCCCTCAGGGAGGAAGAACACACTACCTGGAAGGGCTTGGGAAGGCAGGGACC